AGAAATTCTTGTAGAGGGGACGAGAAGATGTTCCCTACCCCTAAGCATTCCCCACAATAAGCAGAGAAAAAAGTTATACAAGACAACCATCAGCAGATTGTTTACTGATGACCATAGCAAACAGAGGAACCTTCACTGCGTGATTATCCTCATCCTCTAAGAATTCCTCATGTATGAAGTCACCCACATACTCAGTGCATCACTGTTAAAGTGAATGAAAGTCAAACATTTGATGCTTAGACTAAAAATATGTCTTTCCTCTATCCATCCTCTAATGGCTGGATGAACAAGCACAGATAACATGAAAACTGCTTAGGTTATAGGAGAATGAACATAGCTGGTCTACAGGCATCTTAGATTAAGAAATAGGGCCTGAAGGATATACTGGTACTGTTAGAAGTGAGTAGTTGTATGGGAGTGGAGTGATTGTGTTTATAATCTGTCTTCAGAGCCCAAATGCAGAAATGTATTTTTCTGGACTGCATAATAGATTATTAAGTTTAGAATTTTGCTGCAGTAACATTACAAAAATACCTACACAGTATTGATTTAAATATTATACAGGTCGGCCATCACTAATCCTGCATCAATGGGACCTGTAGGGTGCTGGATTAGTGACTTTTCCGGATTACAGAATGCTTAGGTTAGAATATGCTTAACCCAGTGGCAATATTTATGCATCAGTGATTTCACCCAATTTATACCCTATTTTTGGCCCATTCCATTGTTTCAGTCTACCAAACTCATAGCTATTTTGCTAGTATTCCTTCTGTAGTGTTGTTTAAATTCAGCAAGGTTTATACAAGCATTGCACTGAGCCTTCGCTTCAGTGCAACTCTTGCAAGAAAGGATCTTGCAAAGGTTCTTGCAAGATATGTTTTTGTTTCTGGTTTGTTATACAAAATGGCTAGCTGGTTTATTATGTGTTAAAACCCATCGACTATACGATAGTCTTAAAGGACCCCAATGGAAATAAGCCACTAATTCTTTTGCATTGTCCTAGGTTCTCTACACATATGCTGCTTTGTATGATAATCTGTGTAGCTGTATTTGTGTATACCTGAATAAACTTACTTCTATTCTGTCGACTGAGCACAAGAAACCGCCCATTCACCTATTTCAACTACCAAAAAAAGTGGTCAGAAATTGGCAGTTTGGCGAATTTCACACAAATTTCAAAATAGGGTCATTCCTGGCACTAAAATAACATTTTCTCTGTTCATTAGTCACATCTCCAGGCCCCTCTTATAATACTCTTACTTTCCATTTTGAATTATTATGATTGTATAAATAATGTCAACCCATTCGTCACTGTGTATTAGACTGGCCAGTTGGACACGTATTGGATGGTGACATATTGGTTAAAAGATAAAGAATCACACATAAAGTGGGAGTTGTCACAGTTGCTCTTTGCTGATGACACTGTGCTCTTGGGAGATTCTGAAGAGAAGTTGCAGAGATTGGTGGATGAATTTGGTAGGGTGTGCAAAAGAAGAAAATTAAAAGTGAATACAGGAAAGAGTAAGGTTATGAGGATAACAAAAAGATTAGGTGATGAAAGATTGGATATCAGATTGGAGGGAGAGAGTATGGAGGAGGTGAATGTATTCAGATATTTGGGAGCGGACGTGTCAGCGGATGGGTCTATGAAGGATGAGGTGGATCATAGAATTGATGAGGGGAAAAGGGTGAGTGGTGCACTTAGGAGTCTGTGGAGACAAAGAACTTTGTCCTTGGAGGCAAAGAGGGAATGTATGAGAGTATAGTTTTACCAACGCTCTTATATGGGTGTGAAGCATGGGTGATGAATGTTGCAGCGAGGAGAAGGCTGGAGGCAGTGGAGATGTCATGTCTGAGGGCAATGTGTGGTGTGAATATGTATAATGCAGAGAATTCGTAGTTTGGAAGTTAGGAGGAGGTGCGGGATTACCAAAACTGTTGTCCAGAGGGCTGAGGAAGGGTTGTTGAGGTGGTTCGGACATGTAGAGAGAATGGAGCGAAACAGAATGACTTCAAGAGTGTATCAGTCTGTAGTAGAAGGAAGGCGGGGTAGGGGTCAGCCTAGGAAAGGTTGGAGGGGGGGGGTAAAGGTGGTTTTGTGTGCGAGGGGCTTGGACTTCCAGCGGGCATGCGTGAGCGTGTTTGATAGTGAATGGAGACAAATGGTTTTTAATACTTGACGTGCTGTTGGAGTGTGAGCAAAGTAACATTTATGAAGGGGTTCAGGGAAACCGGCAGGCCGGACTTGAGTCCTGGAGATGGGAAGTACAGTGCCTGCTCTCTGAAGGAGGGGTGTTAATGTTGCAGTTTAAAAACTGTAGTGTAAAGCACCCTTCTGGCAAGACGGTGATGGAGTGAATGATGGTGAAAGTTTTTCTTTTTCGGGCCACCCTGCCTTGGTGGGAATCGGCCAGTGTGATAATAAAAAAATATTGGGCGGTGGCTGCATTATTGTAATAATTGTATAAATAATGTCAACCCATTCATGACCTTGTATTAGACTGGCCAGTTGGACACGTATTGGACGGTGATGTCATTTGTTTACTTTATACATTGGCAAAGAATCGAACTTTTCCGCTACTTTGAGTTCAATTTCAAGGTACTTTTCATCGTGAAACCAATCAAAATCATATCTATTTCTTTAATATATCTTTCATTTTATCAAATAAGACCAAAAGAAACGAGAATACAATCATAAAAACTACACAAAAATACACCGCTAAGGGGCGACTAACGGCTGAGAAGTGAACTGCATTATTTATTGTCCAATTTCTTTCAGTTTGGTGTACATTAAGAAGCATCTTTCCATCATACATTGTCCAGTTTCAGTAAGATAGCCCAACAAACAACAAACACAGTGAACCCCCAGTTATCGTAATTAATCCATTCCTGAGAGAGTGACTAAACCTGAATCTGAGGATTTCTGAATCCATTTTCCCTTTAAGAAATATAATGTAAATCCAATTAATCTGTTCCAGACACTCAAAAGTATTAAAAAAAATATATTTTTTTACATGAAATACACATTTACCTACTCAGAAAACAATGAGACATGCAGAATAAAACAGTAATAAAATGACATTTACCCTTATTGAAGACTTGTTGATGTACAGAAGACTGGAGGAGGGGAGAGGATGGAGGAGTTACTATTGTTTGGAAGGGGAATCCCCTTCCATAAAGACTTTAGGACCACTAGGACCAGCTTGAGAGTCACTGGACCCCTGTAGCTCAAAAAAGTGTTCCAGAGAGGTCTGTTTCTGGTGTATGTTAGGAATTGTGGTGGCGGCAGGGAAGCGTTGGTAGACAGGACAAGATAGTCCTTCAATATGACACTAATATCAACTCTTCTGCTTATTTATCTAGCACAATTCATCTAATATGACATAATAAGCAATATTAATAACATAGAAACATGATATGTATACACTACTCTAGAATGAATAAAATATGTCATATGTCTCTCTCCCTAACCGATGAGTGTTGCTGTGTTGTTTGTTGTTGGGTGTATAAGGGCCATTGAAAGATAAGCCTTACGTAGTGGTGGTAATGATGGCAGCAGAGATGGCGGTTTTGTCAATCGCCCTTTATAACTCCAACAACATTGGAGGAGTCAGTTTCGTGCTGTCGATTTTCTGTCAATTAATAGCTTAACTTACATGCTACACTGTTAATGCTACACTTTATTGCTGGCTGGCAGTATAACTGTTGTTGATAACTGCTGCTTTAGTATTGTACATATTGCAGAATCACTGAAGAAGGCACATTCTCCCCTCTTTCTCAGCCCTTTACCATAGGGTTGACTGGCACTAGGAACTTCCTTGGGGCCCATGGTGGCTTATTTAGCAGTTGGAAGCATTAAAAAGAATGGAATAATACAAAATGTATTGTATGAACGAGTGGGATCGTGCTGACTGGCTGATAAGCAATGGCACACTGAGTGTCGGGCTGCTGTTGCTGTGAGGATGCGCTCAGGACGAATGACTATTACCGAGCTCAGTGACGATCACTGAGCCAATATTTTGATGAAAAAACATTACTATTTCTGAATATTACGAAATCCAACGACTATGAAATCTGGGGGTCCACTGTACAATTACATAGATTATTACACATAGCAGCATATGTGTAAAGAGCCTAGGATAACCCAAAAAAAGTCAGACAAAGTGACTTTTTCCATTGGAGTCCTTTTATGGGGTTCTTTTATGTTGTCTGTGAAATTCATTGCATTCCTATCATTATTAATGCTGCTATGTTAAGATATATATGAATAACTTCTGAGATAATCAACAAAAATGAGTGTATATCATAGTTAGCCCTGTACTACACTATGTTTTCTCTTAATATAATCCCCCAAGACAGGGATGGTACTTTTATCACATCTTCTCTATTATTATTGTTATTACTGTCATTCATTTGGGAGTATTTACCATATTTTTATGTTATTTATATTGTTTATTATGTTATATTAGATCAATTGTGAAAGGTAAATAAGCCATAGTGTTTTATTAGCATAATAATAAAGCATATTCCCCCACATCACGAGACTCAGGAGCTCATAGCAACCTATAGTGGCTTCAAAGCCACCTTATCTTTTATGGACAATGTACGGTGTAGGTGCTTTACACAACGAGAAGCATTTCTTTTATTCATTGGAACCATGGCTAGGGCTAAAAGTGAGCAGGTTATAACAATAAATATAGAAAAAGAAATTGAAATGACTTATACAGCAAGTAGTGCCACCAAACAGTAGCAGCAGGTTGGTGTGGCGACCCCAGAAATTTTAAATTATGGTAGCCAGAATTAGTGCCGGATTACTGATGGAACCAGATAACTGATTGCCGGATTAGTGATGGCTGACCTTTATATTTATTCATGAGTTATACTCCAGGTAATGCAAGTGCCATAGATGAAACATTTAGGTCAGTGACCCATCATTGTTCACATCAGCTGTAATCACATGTAAAATCATATTCTACAGCAGTATTTTTTTACATTATTAGACTTTGGTATGGCTGATGTGCATAATTTGGGCAAGCACTCTCGAGATGGTGGTTCATGCACTGCAGCAGCATTTCTTAAGGTAAGGTATTAGTTCATTTCTTGAGTAACTAACTTAAGGCAAGGTTCTAGTTCATTTTTAGAAATTAAATAGCATTCTGTTGAATGTTTTCTTTAAGAACAGTATTGTACTTTTGCTAATACTACAGTACATCTGGTCTATGCCTGCAGGATGCCTGTTTCTCATGTATGATGTACTGTACATACTGCTGATTACTCTTGTAAGCATTTGGCCTTAAACCAGTCCTGTTGATGTAAGAGTTTATCTCTGTAAAAATCTAAGAAAGCTTTTAATGAGGGCATTAAAAATGATCCTTACCTCCCTGCTGTATATTAAGACAATTTCCTAGGTACTCTACAATATTAATTTTACCAATTTTGTCACTTGGTAATGCAATTAATGGCTTTTTTAATATTTTTTTAGAAAAAATGAACCTGAATAAAAAAGTTTAAATATGAAATACTCAATGCACAAAGACACTGATTTATAATAATCTGAGAATATTGTTTCAGGAATTTGTTACATGTGATCATTGGATGCACATGGATATTGCCGGTGTGATGGAGAACAAGGATGAAGTACCTTACCTGGGTAAAGGCATGAGTGGCCGCCCAACTAGAACTGTCGCACACTTTGCAAAGCTTTTGGCTTCGGTTAATACTGTGTTATGAACATTTAATACTAATTTACTCTTTGTGTTCATTATCGAAATACAGTTGTATAATTAAAGTTTTTTTATCAGATGTATAAGAAATATTTCTTAATGCTGTATCCAGAAATGATGTTTAATTTTAGAAAATACAGTACAGTACTGTACTACACTGAAAAAAGCACAATGTATATCTATATATACAAGTTTTTCCATATATTGTACAGTAGTTTAAACTGGGTAGATAGAAAATAAATGCAGTACAGTAAATATTTTTAAGAACAAGCTTAAATTTCATTATGTTATAATTTACACACCAATAAACATAATAAATAAATAAATGATTTATTTCCAAACAATACATTACTGTACTATATTATTTGTGTGAATTAAAATTGAACCTTGTACTGTTTCATAATCCAACAGGATACATAACAATTCAGGAAGATGCATTGATTTTTATACTCCAGCCATCTCCCACCAAGGTAGGGTGACCTAAAAATGGTAAAACATTCACCATCACTAATTCAAGTAGCTGTCTTGCCAGAAGTATGCATATATTACAATTGATATGATCCTCTGAGCTGCAACATTCCCACATCCTTCTTTGGTGTGCAGGTACCTGCCTCCTCATCTCCAGGACTTAAGTGTAGCTAACCTGTTCTCCAGTAGGCCAGACTTGAGTCCTGGACATGGGAAGTACAGTGCCTGCACTCTGAAGGAGGGGTGTTAACCCCTTAACTGTCCAAATGTAGATCTACGTTGTTGCTGCTAGCACTCCAAACGTAGATCAATGTTTTATTTTTCCTGCCTCCAAATTTGGCAGCACGATTGGCCTTAAATGCCTGGTCAGCATAGTATGGGTCTTAACACTTAGTGCATGAAGTATTAAAAAAATCTGGGACCACTTAGTACCTTGTGGGAGCACCAGTTCAATTGAGCTCCAGCTAGAGCAAACAGCGCGGTAAACACCAGGGATTCACTGATGTCATGTCGTATTAACACTCCCCTTTTAAGAGGAAAGTGATGTTGACCCCGAGTTTAGTGGCTTTGAGGTGGATGTGGCCACAAGTGGTCGAGGAAATATCAAAAACCTCGATAATAACCCATGTGCAACATTTGTGCAACATCCTTTCAGTTTTGGTACCACTGGTAGTGTCATCCTGCCAAAATGCCCTATAACCTATGCCCTAAGTAAAGAGAAACAATTTTGGAACGTGTAGTATGTGTTTGGCAGGCTGGCTGGCTGGCCTGCTGGCTGGCTGATTGGCTGTTTCTATCTCTGTCTGTCTGTATCTATCTCTGTCTATCTCTTTCTCTGTCTCTTTCTCTGTCTATCTCTTTCTCTGTCTCTTTCTCTGTCTATCTCTGCCTCTATCTCAGTGTGACTTTGTAAATGGTCCAAGTCGGACCGAAACATTGTCGTGAGCTTCTCTCTTCTATGTGCAGGTTATTTGTGTATCGTTCCAGTCACGGTATTGTGCCTTTTTTTTTTTTTTCTTTATCTCCCAGGTACACATAAATACAATTATACATAGTGTAAATTACCTAGGATAACCCAAAAAAATCTAGACAAAGTGCTATGCTGTGCTTGTAGATATAATGCATAATAAGCATGACTGGCAAATAATACACATTTTCACTTTGTTCAGGAATCAGACGTGACTGCTCTGCATCTCTGCATTGTGTGTAATACCTGCTGGTTCACAAGTTGCCCTCTCTGAGACAGAAAGAGAGAGAAGCAGAGAGACAGAAAGAAACACAAGCAGAGAGATAGAAATGAAAAGAGAGCTAGACAGACAGACAGATGGACAGACAGACAGACAGACAGACAGACAGACATGTTTATGTGTAACTGTGAAAACAAATAAATCCAAGGCAGTGCACGATCGTCAAATGTCACTCCACTGCTGACAGTGCAGTGACACTCCTCTTACACCATGCTTCAAGGAGTTTTATATATACTCCCACGTGTCCAAAATTTGCTGGGACCTATAAATACGTACTACATATATATTTCTAGACATTAGTGTGTGACTAAGGTAGGTGAAAATGTTCACCTGTCACTCTGTTTGTGACTATTTGAGCACTATTTTGTACCTAATACAGTGTACCCCCGCATAACAATATTAATCCGTTCCTGAGAGCTCATTGTTATGCGAATGAATTTTCCCCATAAGAAATAATGGAAATCAAATTAATCCGTGCAAGACACCCCAAAGTATGAAAAAAAAAATTTTACCACATGAAATATTAATTTTAATACACACAAACTGAAAAAGGCATGCACAGTTACATGACACTTACCTTTATTGAAGATCTGGTGATGATTGATGGGATGGGAGGATGAGAGAGTCTTAGTGTTTAGAAGGGGAATCCCCTTCTATTAAGACTTGAGGTGTCAAGTCCTTTTCTGGGGTTACTTCCCTTCTTCTTTTAATGCCACTAGGACCAGCTTCAGAGTCACTGGACTTCTGTCGCACAACATATCTGTCCATAGTGGCCTGTACCTCTCGTTCCTTTATGACTTTCCTAAAGTGTTTCACAACAGTGTCAGTGTAATAGTCACCAGCACGGCTTGCAATAGCTGTGTTAGGGTGATTGTCATCAAAAAAGGTTTGCACTTTAAGCCACATTCCACACATTTCCTTAATCTTTGAAGTAGGCAACTTCTTCAATTTCTCTCTCCCCTCCTCCGAACCAGTTTCCTCAGTTGTGACCTCTTGCTGTTGAAGTTGATCTAGCAGCTCATCAGTGGTTAGTTCTTCATTGTCCTCCTCCACCAACTCTTCCACATCATCCCCTAACCTCCAACCCCAAGGACTTTCCCAATGCCACAATGGATTCCTCAACTGGCATAGGAATCCCAGGGTTAGCCTCAAACCCTTCAAAATCCCTTTGGTCTACACATTCTGGCCACAGTTTCTTCCAAGCAGAGTTCAAGGTCCTCTTAGTCACTCCCTCCCAAGCCTTACCTATAAGGTTTACACAATTGAGGATATTAAAGTGCTCTCTCCAAAACTCTCTTAGAGTCAATTGAGTTTCTGAGGTCACTACAAAGCACCTTTCAAACAGAGCTTTTGTGTACAGTTTTTTGAAGTTTGCAATAACCTGCTGGTCCATGGGCTGCAGGAGAGGAGTGGTATTAGGAGGCAAAAACTTCACCTTAATGAAGCTCATGTCCCCATAAATTCGCTCTGCCACGTCTGTAGGATGACCAGGGGCATTGTCTAACACCAGGAGGCACTTAAGGTCTAATTTCTTTTCAGTTAGGTAATCTTTCACATTGGGGCAAATGCTTGGTGTAACCAGTCATAGAAAAAGTCCCTAGTGACCCATGCCTTACTGTTTGCCCTCCACAGCACACACAAATTAGCCTTGAGGATATTCTTTGCCTGAACGCTCTGGGAGTTTCTGAGTGATACACTAATAAAGGCTTCACTTTGCAATCACCACTAGCATTGGAACACATCAACAGAGTAAGCCTGTCTTTCATAGGCTTATGTCCTGGGAGTGCCTTTTCCTCCTGAGTAATGTAGGTCCTGCTTGGCATTTTCTTCCAAAACAGGCCTGTTTCATCACAATTAAACACTTGTTCAGGTTTCAGTCCTTCACTGTCTATGTACTCCTTGAATTCCTGCACATATTTTTCAGCTGCTTTGTGGTCCGAACTGGCAGCCTCACCATGCCTTATCACACTATGTATGCCACTACGCTTCTTAAATCTCTCAAACCAACCTTTGCTGGCCTTAAATTCACTCACATCATCACTAGTTGCAGGCATTTTTTTAATTAAATCCTCATGTAACTTCCTAGCCTTTTCACTTATGATCACTTGAGAGATGCTATCTCCTGCTGTCTGTTTTTCATTTATCCATACCAATAAGAGTCTCTCAACATCTTCCATCAATTGCGATCTCTGTTTCAAAAACACAGTTGAACCTTTGGCAAGAACGGCTTCCTTGATTGCCGTTTTGTTGGACACAATAGTAGCGATGGTTGATTGGGGTTTACTATACAACCTGGCCAGCTCGGAGACATGCACTCCACTTTCATACTTAGCAATGATATCTTTCTTCATCTCTATAGTAATTCTCACCCTTATTCCTGTAGGGTTGGCACTAGAAGCTTTCTTGGGGCCCATGGTCACTTATTTTGCAGATAAAATCACGAAAAACACTGTAATAATACGAAATGTTCCGATTGTATGCTTGGATGTTACCGCAGAGACTGGCTGGTAAACAGTGCCACCGGCGGAACATGTGAGTCTGGCTCAGGCCGCACATTAGACGCGTCTTGGACGAATAGCGTTGAGCAGGTTTTTTAGCGGTATGCGAGGCAAAATCTTAGCGATAAAATGTATCGGTATGCGGATTTAACGTTATGTGATGCCAACGGTATGTGGGGGTCCACTGTATTAGTGTCAGAACAAAGATTGGCTATGAAATCACAAGAACTACTGCAAATTGTAATTATCAGAACATAAAAATTATATAAATAAAAAAAATGAGAAAAAAAGGTATATCAGCAACACTGATGCAAGTGGCAGCGCTTCATATTGCCCATACACAAGTAACCCTCTTCCACACAGCCAATTACAGTTGGTGTCCCACAGGGAAGTGTCCTAGGCCCTCTTCTCTTTCTCATATACATAAATGACCTACCAAATGCATCGCAACTACTCAAACCCACACTATTTGCAGATGACACTACATACGTCTTCTCTCACCCGAGCGCAATCACGCTAGCCAATACTGTAAATACCGAATTACAGAAAATATCTACCTGGATGAGGACTAACAAACTCACTCTAAACATTGACAAAACCTACTTCATTCAGTTTGGTAACAGAGCTACAGATGTCCCTCTTAACATAATGATAAATGGATCACCTATCACAAAACTCACAGAGGAAAAATTCTTAGGAATCCACCTTGATAATAGACTCAAATTTCAAACACATATACGACAAATTTCCAAAAAAATTTCCAAGACCGTAGGCATACTATCGAAGATACGGTACTATGTTCCACAGTCAGCCCTCCTGGCCCTGTATCACTCACTTATTTTCCCCTATCTCACCTATGGAATTTGTGCATGGGGCTCAACAACAATAAACCATCTCAGACCACTAATTACCCAACAAAAGGCTGCAGTCAGAATGATGATAAATTCCCACTACAGGGAGCACACTCCACCAGTATTCAAAACTCTAAACCTACTCACCATACAAAACATCCATACTTATTACTACACCTACTACATACATAGAACACTTAACTCTGATATAAACCCTCCCCTCAAACGTTTCCTTACCAACCTCAACAGAACACATGACC